TATCACAGAGTTTTATTGGATCAATGAACAGAACTGTTTGCAGTATCATTGATGGAATGTCCACTTTACAAGCTTTAATTTTGTGACTTGAACAATTATTTCTAAGATGACAATATGTAATCCATTAACTAGTGATTTCCTACTGTTCATTTTTTTTCTGTAAATCTGTATAACTTGTACCCTTTCCCTGCTTTTTTTTTTCTTTTCTCCTTAAATAAAATTAAAAAAAAATTTTTTTTTTGAAAAAAAAAAAAAAAAAAGAAATCTCTGGTATTTATTTTCTACATGAGTAGAAAATTAATATTTTATATTTCTATAAAATGGTATGTCCTTAATATTCTTATTTATTTATTCACTCATTCATTTTAATCAAAATTCAAGGAGCAGATGATCTTTATTCCACTGGGTTTCAAGTTCAATCCATCATAGTCATTGTGAAGCACAAGCAGAAAGGAATGCCCTATAGCCTACATATCCATACAAGGTTCCCAGAATGGGAGAGAAAAAATCAGAAATCTGAAGGCCTGGCATATTTTTGGAGGTTTCCTTGTGACTTAAAAACTCTAAATTTCCTCTACAAGCAAAAGAACAGTACTGATCACACAAAACATCACAATGGTATCTGTGTTTTTATAAACTCTATAGTGGCTACCAATGAACTCTCTGAATCTCTTGACTGAAGAATAAGAGACTCAATATAAGATCATCTTTTTTTAAAGACTTTTATAATCCCAGTACTCTTAGAAGCTAAAGTAGAACCTCAAGTTCAAGATCAATTGGAAGATGTATCTCAGCAATAGCATGTTCCCACTTATAATCCTTAGTACCACGTGAGACATAAGAGGGGCAGGGAGACAAAGAGGTAGAGGGAGATGGGAACAGGCAGAGGGTCCCAGACAGGCTGAGACAGTGACAACGACAGCAACACAGACAGAGGCGGAGAGATAGACAAAGAAAGAAAAATTTAGATATTAATGAGCAGAGTATGGACAAGAATATTCTTCCCAGTCTAGGTTGGGAAGAATATTATAACCAAAACAAGATTTGTACTTTGATAGCATATGTATTAACAATATTAAGTGAATTTTTCCCCACCCAAGTTTGGATGATGGTATTCATATGATGAATTTTTTTCCTGCAGACTATATAATTATTTTTAAGTTATTGTAGTTTGGTTATTTGTGGTGGCTCTTAATTGGTGCTGTATTAGCATATAGGAATTCAGATAAGCACCTTAAGAAAAAGAAAGAGAAAATCTCCAACAGATTTTCACACTTGTATTTGAATTTATAAGTAAATATAATTTAGAAAAATAAAAAAAAAATGAATGCATTTGCTTATGAAGCCTAAATAGATAAACTAGGTAATAGCCAGAAAAGTAAAGAAAGTAGAATTAAATCAAGAAAAAAATCAGGCAGTAGGAACATGCTCACTCCATTGAGAGTGTCTGCTTACATTTTTCTGGCCATAGCTAGTTTTCAGCAGTAAATAATAACGAGCTCTTCAACTCCAAACTCTTCTTGACTTCACGGTTTGTGTTGAGAAGTCTGCTGTGATTCTGACTGATTTTCCTTTACAGGTGATCAGTATCTTTTCTCTAACAGCTTTTAATATTCTTTTCTGGTGTTGAATTTCTGGGATCTTCATTATTATATGTCTGGCTGTAGATTCACTTTGGTTATGTATGCCTTTGGTTCTGTATGCCTAATTTATACCAGATCCTTTCCCCATGTTTGGGAGTTTTCTGCTACACATCTAGTTAAAAGTTGCCAGAAGGTAAAATATGCTGTAAAAAACAGCAATAAAAATATGTATATAATCTCAAAAAGCAAAAACAAAACACAGAAACAATTAAAACACAACGCTCAAGAAAAAATGAACAAGAAAGAGATGAGTATATGGGATTTTTTATAATTTAGTGTTATAATTCAACTCTGTCCAGACATTATACTTTGTACCCTGTAAAGTAGTCAGATAGAGACTTTTCCTACTTGTCACAGTACTGAAATCTATTTTTTTTATTTTAAAAAATCAAATTTTTAAAAGGCCAATAGTTTCTCAGCACATTAAGCATATTGATGTATAGATTCAATTAATAAACTGCATGTATCAACCTTTATTTTTGAATGCACAAAATCAATAGATTCCAGCTTCTATTCTTTACTAAATATTTTTTATTTTCATGTGATAATTACTTCAAATATAACTTTTATGCGTTGTTGGCTGCATTTATAGTGTGATTATAAAATACAGGTCTAGCAAATTATGGTTTCATTTTCTTTTTTAAAAAATTTTATTTAAAAGGAAAAACAAAACAAAACAGTGTAAGGGTACAAGTAATACAGAACTACAAAAAAAAAAAAAAAACACACACACACACAGTAAGAAATCACCAGTTAATAGATTACACATTATCATTTTAGAGATAGTTGCTCAAGTCACAAGATCAAAGCATACAAAGTAGACATTCAAACAGTGAGACTGCAGACAGTTGTGTTCAATGATCCAACCAAAAACATTAATATGGTCATCTATTTAATATACCTAAGCACACTTGCAGTTGTATTCTTTAAAGCACTTTTTTTTCTCTCTTTTTTACAACAAAATTTACACATTTTGGGTTTTATTACTCCAAAAGCTTAGTAGTATTTGAATAATGGAAGGCCATTCCACTGCTGCACAGAAGCTGGCCACCTCCCCAGTGGACCTGCATAGTAAGAGGGTCTTGAAGTACATTTGACATGTCTTCTCCATGAGTTTGGAAAATACATGAACTTTTCAAGTTAGGTTCTTGTGTCAAAGACTCTATAATATCTTGTTTATGAAACCAGTCCCTAACTAGTTCTTTACAAGCGTAGCAAGTAATCTTTTTTTCTATATAAATAACTCTGCAAATACTAATTTAAATATGGTAGAAAGTTGCTGTAACATTTTCTATATATGTGTTCTGTTTATACATAGCCCTTACCATCTTTATTTATGGTATATATGAGCACCAAGAATTTTATTTAATTAGGCAAACATGGTGGCACACACCTGTAATCCTAGCACTCAAGAGGCTGAGGTAGGATGACTGCCACGAATTCAAAGCTTGGTGGGGCTATAATAGTGAGACTTTGCTTAAAAAAGAAAGAATATTGCTTAATTATAACATATATATATATATTCAAAGTGAGAATAATTTGCATGGGAACAAAAAATGGAAAAACAAAGTCTCTGTTTTGGGAAGTGACATTAAAGTGAGGCAGGGCTCAATAAGTTCACTATAAATTTGCTATGATATTGTATATTATCTTAGCAGTTATTACTTTTGAAAAATAGTCAAATAAGTTATTTTTTTTTTTTCTGTGAATGGCAACTCCTAACATAGCTTCTTTATCTTTCTTTATCGTGACCTTAGTAGGGATACTTTTTCTTGGTTATTTACTTTTAAAACATTAGTGCTTTAAGAGGATTGGAAACCAGAGTCAAATATACCATATGCATCTTTACTATACCTGTCAGACGAAAGGCTACAGTTGAAAGTCTTCAAAGAAAAAAAATCAGAACTAAACTACTCATACTATAAAAACAGAAAAAATATTTTGTAGTTAAAATGATCATTTGCAGGTATATGATTTAGTATTCACAGTAACATGTTCCAGATTCAGTAGCTGCTTTTGTAAAATCAGTGATTTTATTAACTTTTTTTTTTTTTTTTGTCTTTTTCCTTTTTATCGGTACCAGGGATCAAACTCACGACTGCCTGCTTGCAAGGCAGGCGCTTATGCCGCTGAGCTAAATCCCCAGCTCCCAATTTTATTAACTTTGAAGGATTAAGTGGATCTAATCTTAAATTATTATCACAGATCTCTACCAAATCAGCATATCAAGTAATGGGTAACTCCCATGAACCTGCTTCAAATTTGTCAAAATAATGTATAGATCACCTATTAGAATAAATTACATATCAAAACAATTGTTGATATAACTACACAGATATGCAATTAATTTGCTACAGTAAAATTTCAGTCTCAAAAATCATATGTACTATATTGTATTTTATAACATTATTGGAAAATATTGGTGAAAATACTTCATTGTAGTAATAATAATGATATATATGCGTGGATTTTTATGTGATTCTTATTTGTTCTACCCTAAGAATTTGTCCTATATTTTAGTCTTAGGTTTTTGAACAATAGTGTTATTGGATAATTGTATGGAATTTTGAAAAAAATTAAATTTGAATGTATAACAGTTCATATATGTGTTTGTTTTGATTCTAGTATTGAAAGACTATATCCCAAAGAGGATACATTTATTATTTGTTTCTCATCTTTCAAACTTTTGTATAACAAATTCTTTAAAATCTTTGTTAGTCACAGAGTAATTATTCTTGCCATGCATGATGGCACACATTTGTAATCTCAGCACTTGGGAGGCTGAGGTAGGAGGATTTCTGTGCGTTTGAGGCCAGCCTGGAATACACAATGAGACCCTGTCTCAGAAAAAGAGGGAGAGTGAATTATTCTTTGGTTATTTACCTCTTACTAATTTGAAGTAAATTCTCCAAAGAAATGTAAAAAAAATGATTATTCTTGTATTATTTACTTCTTACTAATTTGAAAGAAATTATCCAAAGAAATGTGAAGAACTCAATCAAAGTCTTACCCTGTAAGAAAGCAAAATGAAACTCTTTAAATATGTCTTATGGAAATGCCTTTCAAAAAAGTCATTTTTAAAAGCCTAATTAAAAGCACAACAAAATAATTGTTTAGTATCTTACTTGCTCCTTCATAATTTATTTAGTACTTCAGAAATTTCGTGAAAAATAAGATATATCACTTTCCTTTATTATCAATGTTTGAAATGAATATAAAAAAACTAAAAACTATTACACCTGTTAACTAAAATAAAATATGTATTGTCTATAGCATAATGTTAGATAGATGCAAGAAAGTTATTATCAAGTAAAAATTGTAATTTCTATCTTCCTCTCTCCTTTATTTCAAATTAAGAGATTCAGTCTCCTGCCGGTTGTAATGGAAATGAATTTCAGTGCTATCCTGATGGAAACTGCATCCCTGATCTGTGGCACTGTGATGGGGAAAAGGATTGTGAAGATGGTAGTGATGAGAAGGGATGCAATGGTACCATAAGACTGTGCGACTACAAAACCAAATTTTCCTGTCGGAGTACAGGTAAGCAGACGGTGGGTTTAGCTGCTGTCTGGACTCTCTGATAGAATTCTTTAATTTATCCTCAGGCTGTGTCTCACCTTAATTAAATGTATTCTTTTATTTTCTGGTAGATTCACTTACCTTCTATATGTAATGGTAATAACTAATACCTATTAAGAAGTGTTCTGGGCCCGACATAGTTCTGTGCATTGTTCCACATGAACTCATGAGGCAAAGAGAATTGTTTAACTTGATTAAGTTCACAGCCAGCCTGGCAGAGTTAAGACATGATACCAGCTAATTTCGATTTACCATTGAAATTTCAGAGTCAAGAAAGTGATGAGTGTGCTAAGCCTCAAACAATATTTCTCTTCCTATCAATAAAGTTTACCCTAAACTTTAAATGAAAGTCACTGGAAGGAAGAGGGGAATTATATATATTTGTGTTCAACTAGTTTCTTAGATTTTATTATGTTATTAATTGATTCCATTATACTGGAAGTTTTTGGTTGCCATTTAAATCTTTGACTTTGAGAGTCACTAAGGTTATAGTAAATTTTTGTAAAGTGTTTTATCATCATAACTTTGGATTATGTTTTACAACATACATTTTTCCTGCTTATATTCAGTTCTACTTAATATATGAAAGTAAACTATTTCCCTGTGCAACAGATTAAAAAATACATTTAATAGAAAAAGTAGAATGTAATACACTGCTGTACTATAATTTCTGGAAAGTTAGTATCATCATTCAAATAAGCCACAGAAAAACTGATCTACAGATTTCAGAATATATTCTTGAATTACTTCTCAATTTCTGCTTAATGTGAAATTGTCTTCAGATTGCTTAATCATAAGCACCTAGTGATTCCTTTTGCAATTTCAGCAAACAAGTAGAAGGGAAGAGCTCTCACAGTTGTAAGTAAAAAGTGGAAAGATGTGGTCAATCTTCGTTTAGAAATACAAAAAGAATTTTCTTTTGCAAACATTCTTCTTTATGAAACCATAAAAATAAAGAAATATGTGTAAGGTAGCATAACTATATATAAATATCCCTAAAGTCTGTTGAGGCAATTGTGTTTCTAAAATGATTACTTTTTGAACAAAATCTTTTTAAAATTATATGATTCTTCAATAATTAATGAAAAGTTTTAATTTGCCAAATATCATTTAGAAAATTTATAATTTTTAATTTAGTGATTTTTTGAATATATATTAATTAAAAAGCAACATATGTTGAATGAATTGTTAACTTCCTAAATAATTTTTTACTTAACAGTGAATTTAATACCAAAGAACAAATTATTTTGCTCAGATTGTACAATATACTACTGTATGTAAAATATAGTAATATACATTAATAGTATTATTATATATAGTATATTTTCCTTTATGACTTGTAGTATCTGGTTAATTGGACTAATGTTGAAGTATAGCATGTAGAAGAAGATGGTGGCTTGCTAGGTAACTGGGTAGGAGCCTCTCTGGGAAAAACAGCTCAGATGCTGGAATTTGACAACATGGAGAGGGCTGGATGAGTGGAGAGGGATTTTTGTGACCTTAGGAGGAAACTGAAAAAAAGCAAAATAGGAAGAGGAAGGAAAAACGCAGGTGGAGGGCTGGAGTCAGACTTGCTCATTGAGATCCATCTCACGCTGTGCTGGGTGCCTGGGGAAGTCGTATGATACAAGGTCGTGCTGAAGCCATGGCCACTGATAACGGGAATTGGTGAGTCCCAGGCCCTACATGGGAGGACACAGCACAATGTGGAGTACAGCCAAGGTTGAGAGCTGCATTAATTCTTGGTGAGTGTTGCAAATTGGGTCCTATGGCAGATGAGGCCAGCTGGAAGACATCTTAGAGTGGGGCAGAGTACAGTGCTATAGTGGCATCAGTCAGCCGCCCCTGGCCTAGAGAGGACTGGTGGGATCAGCTTGGGCTGAATCAGGCCTCTAGTCAGGACCAAATAGCCAGGGACAAAACTGTCCCAACATTGTGACATCAGCCACAGCACATCCTAAGTTGCTGAAGGCACTTGAAGGTTGACTGGCTCAAAGAAGAGCGGTTAGCCCACAGTCCCTGCATGCACCTCAGATAGCAGCAAACTGGAGAAGGCTGCAAAACCCCAGCCAGCATGCTTCGGAAAAACCATAAGCAATACGGAGAGGGCCTGAGACCTCCACTAGACACCTGTCTGAAAGAAACCAGAAACATGGCAAGAGAAAAAAATAAGAAAAAACCTCCAGCCACTGACGCTGGGAAATTAAGTCCAGGAGAAGTAAATACAGAAGTGAACCAGTGCAGCAATTATGCAGTATTGGCCACAACATCAACAGACATAAAGAAGTACTTTCGTGACCTCATAGACAAACTTAAAACTGAAATTATAATCCAAATGAGGCAAGATATAAAAAGATTAGTAAAATAAATGCTAAGCCCCTCTCAAGAAGACACAGATGGAAGAATGGAGGAACCCAGAAAAGGAAGAGAAACGTTTGGTGAAGAATATAACAAAATCTAGAAAACATGAAACAGATCCAAAGAGATTACCAGGGAATTAAAAACTCCATTGAAAGCTGGCAAAATGTCATGACAGAAACTAAAGTCAGCCTTTTGAAACTTGAAGAGAGATTTACATTGTGTGATCATGAAAGAAAAGACGTATTAAAAATAACAAGGAACCAAGAAGTAACAATTTAAAGGCTAGAAGATAATAAGAGGATCTATAACTTAAGAATAAAAAATGTGAGCGAAGAAGCAAGAGTAACCACAAATGAATTACAAAGGCTAGTCACAGAAGTAATTAAGGAAAACTTCCCAAGCATAGGAAAAAGAAATGATATCCAGATAAATGAGGCATACAGAACTCCAACCAACTGCAACCAAAACAGATCTTCACCCAGACATATAATAATCAAGATTCCAGAAATCCACCACAAGAAAACAATATTAAAAGCGGCCAGAGAAAAGAAGCAGATCACCTACAATGGAAAAACATCAAAATAACAACAGACTTAGCAACACAAACTATCAAATTGAGAAGAGCCTGGGGGAAAGTAGTGCAAGCCCTGAAAGAAAATAACCTCCCACTCAGATTGATATACCCTGAAAAACTCTCTCTCAAAATTAATGGAGAAACAAGGTGTTTCCAAGACAAGGAGGAACTGTGGGAGTTTGTGGCCACCAATCCAACCCTACAGAAAAATACTGAAGGACATTCTAGAGAGACAGAAAAAAATACCAGGATTCCAGCAACAGTGGCTGAGAGGCCTCAATGAATGGAGCAGACAGTGGAATGAAGGAGAAAGTGGACAAATAATAGCAGAAAAATAGAAAAGCAGAAATAAGGCAGAGAAAGTGGGCTATAATCTCTAATATAGATGGCCTTGATACACTAACAAAAGAAACACAGGCAGAGTAGATTAGGAGGCAGGATCCATCGAGATGCTCTGAATAGGAAATATACTCAACCAGAAAGAGAGTTAATAAGCTGAAAGTCAAACATGAGAAAACAATGCTCTATGTAAAATGGAACCAGAGAGAAATAGGGACAACTCGTCCAGCAGCCTCAGATAGGTTGTAAAGTTATGACACTTTTTTTAGTGTAGAACTACACAACTAATAGGAAGGGAAACCTTGTGGCTTTAGTAAGTAAAGGAGTACAGCTCAAGATCAAGCTCAGGGTTAAAAAGGTTCAGCACCAATCAGATAATGGGTTGACCCCGTAATCTAAAAAACTAAAGGAGCTAGAGGGACCCAAAATATACATAAGGAAAGGTGAGGAATTGCCTAAAAAAGGAAAGCAGAGGACATTGTTAAACGTGTCTCAAGATTTAAAAGCCTTAGTAGTCTTATTGCTCTGTTTAATTTGATTTTATTTTGTTCTGGTCTGTCTGCTCATACTAGATTTGAGGGCACAGGAAGCTATCCCAAAAATAGCAGGCTGTACCACGGTAACTATCCTTAATTTCCTATTAACTTAAAATGAAGCCCTGTATTACTTACATTGTCTTACTATGACTGATCTTATTTGTGGCTGGTTTGTTAGACTGCTATTTTGCCTTGACTGATTTTATTCGAATTTGGTATGCTTGATAGTATCAAGTCTAATAGTAGAGGCAACTACCTGAAGATGACAAGATGTAATAAGATACCCATTCTGCTTTGATTATCACTGCTTTTGAAGTCCTACAATGTCTCCAAGTTTTTATTAAAATAGCTATTAAATGCTATGTTCAATTATATTATGTCTGATGATGTGGACAATTCTATTGAAAATAACAAGAGACAGCATAATAACTACGGTGGATCACCTAATAATGTGGTTTTATATGTCTTTTTCATTTCGTATTTTCCTAGGAATTTGTTTTGTTGTCTTGTTTTGATCTGTTTTACAGAATACAGAAAGGATACAATACAGAAAGGATAGATAAATATGTAGAGATTCACATGTGAGGAGAATTTCTAAACAGTTTATGGGAACAGATTATATAATGCATGATGTAATGAACAGATCTCTGAAGAAGAAGAGAGACTAAGATACCCAGTGCTAATTATGCAGCATTATGATATAAAATCTAGCACTACTATTATTCACTAGTAGTGATATTAGTCTAGTCTCTTATGTTCAGTTTCAGCATAGGTAAAGATAAGGACAGCTACTTGAAGAGAATGAGAGACATTATAGCAATCGTTATTGACTTCCCCAATGTCAGGTCTGGAAGAGCTAAAAAGCCTTCATTATCCTGTTATGATTAGATTAGCTCTATAATGTTCAGTATGTATTCAGTGTGCGTGAAGATGGGAACAACTACTTGGAAGAAAACTACAGACAATAAGAAAAGCAAGTGGACTTGCCTTCGAATCCTTGTTTCTTAAAATTGTTTCCTGATCTGTTTTGTTCTGTTTGCTATAATTAATCTTACCCTCTTTAAAATAAAAAAAAGACTCATGCATACATAGAACCTATAAACAGTTTACGATAACTGATCTTATAATGCATGATGAAATGAACAAATACT